ATTTAAAAAAAAACAATTTTAAAGCCAATTTCATTATTTTAAATCCAAATTTTATTCCTTCCCAAACCCCACCATGCTAAATGTAGAGTTATTGGAATAAGCAGCAACTGCTCTGCCTGTCCATTATCTTCTCTTACAATCCATAAGAACTGGGTATTGATGTGGAACACTCCCCCACCAAAGAAAATAACAGCCACCCCCAAACTCTCAGATGATGTGTGTCTGAAAATAGCAAGAGTGCAAACTGTTATTGTTTAGCAGTTTCACCACCATCTAGGAGACAGATTCTGTGAGCTTACAGGACAGCCTTGGCCAAGTCCCTGTCTGGGCTAAATATTCAATAATTTCCCCTAATACTTAACTTGTATTACTAAGACTGTATTTAATGCCTATCAGTCTGGAAGACAAATAAGGCCATGAAAATAAGGGCGTAAATCTTCATATGATGGTAAAGGGAAACATAGCAGTAAAATAAAAAATAAAAAGTGGTTCTATGTTGCAAATCAAGCACTGCTAGTTGTCTCTTTTTGTTTCCCAGTGTATTTCTTACCAATATAAAATTTGGTGTGGCACATGGAAATTTTTCTTCTGAAAGTGTGGCTCAGAGGGAAAAGTTTGGGAACCACTGCCATAAGGGATGCCAGTGGCCGCCCCCCGGGGGCCCTGTTAATGTTTGTGGCCCCTGGCATTTGCCCCACCCTGTTGGGTGCTGATGCTAGGCCTGCTAAAGCAAGCTGGCCCCCAAGACTGCCATGCTAGGAAGAGCAACGGCCTTCAGGGATGCTGCTTCCCAGCCATGCTGACTTTATGCCTTGGGATGTCAGCCACTGGGGAAGAGCAGTGGCAAAGGCCTATTGATCGCATGTCCTGCATGCGGCCTTTTCATAGGCATCTGGCTGCCCACCGTGGGAAACCATGCTGTGCTAGATAGGCTTGGTGTGATTCGGCAGAGCTCTTCTTATGTCTTTATAGCTTAGAAATAATGTTACATAGTTACTCCTTAAAACCTATCAGGGAGTGTCTGGTCACAAATTTCCCTCCCTGATACTGGATATCAGCTCCATGTTTTCCCTTTCACTCAGGTTTGATTGGCAAAGATCAGGAGTAGCGCTTTATCAATAATAGTACCCACTCTACAGTATGCTACCCCTGCAGAGATTTGTCTGGCATCTTCCCTGTTGACATTTAGTTGAAATAATTTCTATTTGTGAAGTGTTTCTGTTCCTGGGGGTATATTTGAACTGGCACTGTGAGTTTTTGATTTTGGTATTTTATTGTATGCAACTTTCATCCCCTTGTGGCAAACGTATAAATATCCTCAGATTACAAATATCCAGTTTTTCCTACTGTTTTCATAATCACAGTGCTAAAAAATAGCAAAATGTTAATTTACAGAACCATTTCAATGCATTGTTTTCTGTGATTTTTGTGGGATTCTAAATCATTTGCAAAAAGTGATGTTTAAATTGGTGTTTGCATCTTCGACATGTGTACATTGGGGTGTAACTGATTTTTAATCTCACATTAATAGCATTCATACATGGAGACAGATAATTTAGTTCTAAAGGCCATGTACACTTCCGTTAACTTTGCATACAGTACATCCCTACATCTGGCTTGGAACAGGGGCGTAGGGGGGGCAGCTGCCCCCCCCAAATCAAGTAAATAAATAAAAATGCTTAACTGACCAATTGCATCACAGATAACTCGGTTCTGTCCCCACTAAAATAAAGCCTGGCTATGCCCATGTTTGGGAAGTGGCCCTTCTTTGTGCACCTCTACGCGAGGTCCGAAGGGTGGCAACCCAAGAGTAGGGCCTTTTCAGTGGTGGCTCCCTGTTTGTGGAATGCTCTCCCCAGGGAGGCTGGCCTGATACCTTCATTATACACCTTTAGGCACCAGGCAAAAATGTTCCTCTTTAACCAGGCCTTTGGCTAATTGACATCCCATGCTCCTTTAAAATGTGTTTGAGGGGGGCTTACTCGGTTGTTTTTGTTTTATGTACTTTGTGGTTTTATATTCTGATTTCATCCTGTGAACCACCCTGAGACCTGTAGGTATTGGGCGGTATACAAATTTAATTAATTAATAATAAGTGTTGTACCCATGACGTTAGCCACAGTCCGTACCTATTCTGTACCTGTCCTGTCATTTTTGACAAAATGCTGTGTTCTGATGTGTTCCCCGTGCCAAACCTGCTTCAATCTGAATTGAGAAAAAGAATGACCCAGCCTTGCTTTAAGTTGGTGATATGTACAAAGCATTTGTGTCAGGTCTGAAAGTTGACTACTGAGAGATGAAAGTAAGCCAGAAGAGTTACTAAGGGCAAATTCTCCCTCTGCAGTAGCCACTGAGGAGTTTGGGACACGGACTGCTGATTCTCTTGTGCAGAGGTTTTCAACCTTTTTGGGTCCCTGGGTCCCTTGACCAACTACATTCTTTCTGCGGCACCCATGTGGGGCTCAGGAGCCCAGTCAGGTCACCCTTGCCTGCAGAGCTGGCAGCCTCTCACCCTTTTTCAAACACCTGCCACAAAGAGAGGTGCCTCCTCACACTGCCCCACAGGGGCCTGGGACCTGTCTGTCCATTCCCAACGAGGGACTGGCAGGCTGGGCTCCCTCGCCCACTTGCTTGCTTACTCCAAGGACGCCTCAGCTCCTGGAAACCAGCACCCCCTGGCCAGCCCCAGAGACACCATTCACATGGGGAGCTTATAGCCAGGGCTGCTGCAACACACAGCTGTGCAAGCCTTGGGGAGGCAGAGATGCAAGAGGGCAGCAGAGGGAGGGAGGGAAGGAAAGAGGGACAGAGGCCAGCGTTGCCTGGGGCACACCTGAGCATCACTCAAGGCACACTGGTTGAAGACCACCGCTCTAGTGTACTGTTACCAGCATGGCTTTATGGATGACTCACAAGAGCATGCTACAAGTCACAGTAGCCCTGTGAGGTAGATTAAACTGAGCCATAAGTGACTTCTGGCTTTGGGTGCAGAGAGTTCTGCGCATTAGTTTCCTCTGCATTCTCCCCCCCCCCCACTTCATATCATGTTTGATTGTAAGCCATGACTTTACAATGTTAGCCACATTGAGCACATTAGCAGGACAAAAAGAGAATGTAGCAGATAAATACATAATGTATGAATCACAGAACAGTAGGGAAGGGACCCTAAGGGTCATCTAGTCCAACCCCCTGCAATGCAAAAATCTCAACTCGGAAAAAAACCTTCAGAGGAGGAGAGTCCACCACCTTTCGTGGGAGTCTGTTCCGCTGCTGAACAGCTCTTACTATCAGAAAGTTTTTCCTGATGCTTAGCCGGAATCTCCTTTCTTGATGGCACTGGTTTGAGTCCTACCCTCCAGAGGAGAAGAAAACAAACTTGCTCCATCTTGACAGCCCTTGAGAGATTTTGAGATATTTCTCCTATCTCCTCTCAGTTTCCTCTTTTCCAGGCTAAACATACCCAGCTCCTTCAACCATTCCTCATAAGGCTTTCCAGACCCTTGATCATCTTGGTCGCCTTCCTCTGCACCTGTTCCAGCTTGCCAACATCCTTCTTAAATTGTGGTGCCCAGAACTGGACACAGCATTCCAGGTGTGGTCTGACTAAGGCAGAATAAAGGTAAAGGTAAAGGGACCCCTGACCATTAGGTCCAGTCATGACTGACTCTGGGGTTGCGACGCTCATCTCGCTTTAGTGGCCGAGGGAGCCGGCGTACAGCTTCCGGGTCATGTGGCCAGCAAGACTAAGCCACTTCTGGAGAACCAGAGCAGTGCATGGAACGCCGTTTACCTTCCCACTGGAGCGGTCCCTAAGGCAGAATAGAGTGGTACTATTACTTTCCTTGGGATGCGGGTGGCGCTGTGGGTAAAACCTCAGCGCCTAGGACTTGCCGATTGCATGGTCGGCGGTTCGAATCCCCGCGGCGGGGTGCGCTCCCGCTGCTCGGTCCCAGCGCCTGCCAACCTAGCAGTTCGAAAGCACCCCCAGGTGCAAGTAGATAAATAGGGACCGCTTACCAGCGGGAAGGTAAACGGCGTTTCCGTGTGCTGCGCTGGCTCGCCAGATGCAGCTTGTCACGCTGGCCACGTGACCCGGAAGTGTCTGCGGACAGCGCTGGCTCCCGGCCTATAGAGTGAGATGAGCGCACAACCCTAGAGTCTGGCAAGACTGGACCGTACGGGCAGGGGTACCTTTACATTATTACTTCCCTTGATCTGGACACTAGAATTCCGTTGATGCGCCTAGAATTGCATTAGCTCTCTTTCTGCTGCCGCATCACACTGCTCCCTCATGTTCAGCTTGTGGTCCCCCAAGACCCTTTTCACACGTGCTCCTGCTGCCCAGCCGGGTGTCCCCCATCTTTCTTTGGTGCATTTGGTTCTTCCTCACAGCCACAGACTTATAGGGCAGGGAGGGCCCCCGAGGGTCAGACCCGGAACCGCTGAGCCCCGCGGACCCCAAGGTCCTTTCCACACGTGCGGCCGGCCGAATCCCTCACACCACTCCGCCCCCCCCCCCGCCTGTGGCGCCGCGGCTGAGGAGGCGGCGACCCAGAGGGGGTCGGTGGGCGAGGGCGGCCCCCACTGCGCCCCTCGGAGTGGTCGTCGTCGTCCCCCCTCCCTCCGCTCTTTCTCCTCAGGCCGGGGAGCGAGCGAGGGAAGGAGGCGCCCGGAGGCGCGTCTCTGAGGGGGCTCTCTCTCGGGGGTGGTGAGGCGCCCGCGCCCCCCAGGAAGAGGTGGGGGCGGAGGGGGAGGGGAGACCGGGAGCCCCGTTGCCAGAGATGGCTGCGCGCTTTAAAAGGAGGAGGAAGAGGAGGAAGAGGCGCGAGAGGCAGAGCCGGGCTCCGTGAGGAGAAGTGAGTCTTGGCGGGAGAGGAGGTGAAGCGGCGAAGGGAGGCGACGCCTCGGCGGGACAGAGAGAGAGGCGGGCGGGCGGGCGGGGGGCGCTGAGGGAGCCCGCCTGCCATTGGCGCGGGGGCGAGGCGGGCACCCCCTGCCCAAGGAGGAGGAGGAGGAGGAGGAGGGCCGGCCTGCCTCTGCCTGCCTGCCGGGGAGGCGGTTCTCCCGCCCGCCCCGCCGAAGCCGCGATGGGGGCCGCTTCCCTCACGCGGGCGAGGCAGGCGGGAGAGGGAGCCAGCGAGAGCGCGGCGGCGGCGGCTGCTCCTGGGAAGCCCCTGGGCGCCTCTCCTTCCCCTTCTGGGGGCTTTCGCGGGCTTTGTTGTTTTCCCAGCTTCCCCCTCCGCCGCGTCTCGGAAGAAGGTAAGGGACCCGCCGCGCTCTGCCTGTCACGCGTCTCCCTCCCCGGCTCTCGTGTGTGTGTGCGCGCGCGTGTCTGCGGCTCCTGCCTTCCGCTTCTAGATCCTTCTTCCCGGCTGCTTCGGGGCTCCGAACAAAGCGGAGCGGGAGGCGGAGGAGGAGGAGACGGGGGCGGCGGGGGTCTCCCCCTCCCCACCCGCCGCCGCCGCCAAGCAGGGAAGTTAGTCCGGAGTTTGCCGAGTTCCCGCGGAGGCTCCTCCGGGCGAAGGGAGGCATTGCAGGGCTGGGCGGCTGCAGGACGCCGACCTGGGCTAGGCGGGCTCCCCCGTCCCTCCGCCGCGCTCCTGCCGCTCTTCCTCCGCCGCGCGGCTCTTTCCCGGAGCATCTCCTCCTCCCCCCCCCAATTTCTTAAGAGCCTCCTGCATCTTGTCCGCGGGTGACTTTGCAAGGGGTCACTCTGCAAAGCGGTCCCTAAATCCTCGGAAGCCCATGCTCCCTCCAAACCCGGCACTTTTTCGTTCCTGCGCATATGCTTGGCTTTTTCTTCCCCCTTTGATAATAGTAATAAAATTGGAAATGTTTAAATAATTCCTTGGAAACCGGCTCCAACCCGGATCATCCTGCAGCCCCGGCAAGGCTTATTAGGGATGCTCAGTGAAATCCTCAAGTGTTTCTTCCGGGTAAAATGTGCATAAGGTTGGCTCTGTATCCTCCTGACACCAACGCGAGAAGTTAAATGTAATTCAAGGGGGTTCGCAGGTCAAGTCCTGTTTGCTCAAAAGTAAATGCCATTGAATTGCGTGAAGCTCTCTGCCACAGGACTAACTTCAGCTGCGTTGGGGTCTTGGAGTTTGGGTTAGAGCATCGCTCAATGGATTTCTACTGGACAACTTGTGTCCTCTGCCCTACATTTTACTTTGTCAGTGGTAGTAATAAGACAAAAACTGAAGTCATGTCAGTGGCAAGTACCTAAAGCACTGTTTTTCTGTTTGGGATCAGTAAGTGAATTCATTGCCTTCACCCTGCGGAAGCACTGATGTCTGCTTGAAGCATAATTGTTATGTCCCAGTATGTTAGTTAATGTTCGATGTAGCAAAAGTCACTAGCCCATGGTGTAACAGACTATTGTTCCCGCACATCTGTCAATGAAATTGAGGGTATTAAATTTTGAAAGTTCCTTCTAGTAAAGCACAGTGATATGTATGTATGTATGTATGTATGTATGTTCAAGGTAGCAGGCCATGGATAATTCCTTTGGGAAAAATACTGGAGAAACTATATTGGAGTTTAAGAATCTGAAAGAGAACAGTAGGATGTAATGGACCTGGAAAAACAAAAACAAGAACAACAACAGTAATAACAATAGTTTAATGTTTTTGGACATGTAAAATTGGACACTTAAATTCATACTGTGTTTAAAATGCTTTCGCCTTAATAAATGTATTTTCTTGAAATCTTATTAAGTGTGATCCCATATGCTGTTAAGTATGGCAAAAAGCTGGTATATGCTAGGCTGTAATTTAGCCATGGAATCGTAATGATATGTTTAAACTGTCATCTCAAGGTTTATTTCATTATCTCACATGATAGGCAATTTTTATTAAATTGCAACCTTAAAATTTCTACCTGCAGGGAATGTATATTGTATGCATATATAAGTTAGCGCAGCGCATATTTATGAACACTCTCTCCTTTTCTCCCTCTTAAGGTTTAGGAAGTGATATGACTGCTAGGATTTTTGACATCTTGTAAGCAATGTTCTATCTAGAGTGTGACTAAGGAATCTATCTCACAATTGATACCAATACCTTTAGCTGCTTTTCTGAATTAGGAATTCAGTTTTACAATAATAATGTGATCCAATCTTAAAGGTAAAATCTGTAGCTTGTTCATTTATAGTAGTGTTAATGTTTATTTCTATAGTTTACGTCTGTTTGTTATATTGGAGGTGTTATTGATCTCAGTGTAAAGATGGCCAATAGTTGTTACAGTCCTCCTATCATCTATAGATATTGGGGTTGTATATCTTGGAAACTGGTTTACCCCTAGTTACAATTCCCAGGGCCCTTAACAGACTACAGTTCCCATGATAATTGGGGGAGGGAGGGGCATGTTTTAAATGTATTGTGTGTACACGGCTTAAGTTTCTGGGCCACTTATGAGAAGCAGCATATTATGGTTTTGTTGAACAACCTTTATGTTGCAGTATAACAAATAATACTCACAGAAGTTATGGAAATAATTGTTCACTTCAGACAGTCCAGGAAGTTCACAGACCTCATTTGCATTGTTTTACCTAAACAATTTCAGTCCGACCATCTTTAGTAGATGAGGCAAAAACTTCCAGGGGATGTTGCTATTCACAAGGGAGAGTTAATTACTTTTTATAATAGAATACATGAATACCCGTGTCATCCTTGTTTAAATTGTGATGTGCCTGGAAAGGGTCCTACTGATCGCGTGTTTTGTAAGATCTTATGTCTGGTGGCTTACCTGAAGCATAACAATTAACCATTACCACCATCATCTGCAGTTTAATTACTTAATTTGATGATAATACCGCATGTGAAATTTGTTGCCACATCTTGTTCTAACAGTCTTGCAATGGAAGGCCGTTTTCAGTATAAGATCACCTTCCCTTGAAAACCTTGCCTACTATGCTGGCATCATAGTAAATATGTTGCCATTTTCGGTTTGGATTTGGAAGGAGTTGGTTGATTGAGGATGTGGAATACAGTACTTCCTTTCTGCATCATAAACACGTTAATGAAAATTTGAGTGTAAAACCATCTACCCCTAGTAATGAAGTTCTCTTACTCTCTCTTTGTCTTTACATTAGGTGTGTAGGAGAGAAGAAGGGGGGGTGGGGAGGTGGCACTATGCTTGGCAGCTTTAAGCTGTTTCCCCCCTCCCTACACCTGCCCACAGAAGATAGATAACGAGTAAATTGATTAAACGATGGGTTAAGAGATTTAGGTTATACATTAGAAATAGTGATGAATAACCTGCCTAAAGATGAAGTAGAACCCTTCTAGAAGTGATATGGAGAGCCATGTCAGATCCATTGGTGTCTTACTTTCAGAAACAGAAAGGCAGTACTGTGTGTTGTGGAGGTGTGTTAAGGGGTGTGGTAATAGTGTGGTAAGGGTTATAAGGGGTCAGTGACCAAAGACAGCAAAGGGGGGCAGATTTGGATCCAGAATTGGTGTGTAGGGGTGGGATTGGAGTGCTCTGGGATTTATTTGTGTGGGGACTATGGGGCTGAAAAAACGTGAGACTTGAGTGTCACAAGGCATTTGGAAGCTGCAAGCTAGCTTTTTATGTTTGGATGTTCCTTTCCACTGAAAGTAGAAGGCACTTTTTCTTCTTTTTTGCTGGGAGTGCTACTAACTTTTGTTTTTGTTTAATTTATTTATTAAATTTGTATATTGCTCTTCATCCATTGATCTCAGGGAAGTTCACAAAATGCATAACAAAATACATAATAAAAAGAAAAACAGAAAACAAATTCACTATGAATTTATTTATAGGTGAATATTTTTGCCTGAATTTTCTAAACATAAATCCTTAAATGAATTGGTCACAAAAATCACTGACTTAGTTTCTAGTGATAGTACCAAGCCAGACAGCAGATGAAATTACTGCATTTTTACTATTTTAAATTCCACTATTTCACATTTAACTAATACCAACAGTGTAAAAGTTCATTGTTCAAAAATTATAAAGCTCCTGTCCAAAGGCCTTATAAACCTTTTTTTCTTTCGGGGGGGGTACCCTAACTCTAATGTGTAGAATTGCAACCTAAATGATTTGCACTTTAACTCATTGGTATTGTTTGATTATTAAGGAGAGGATGAAGATTTTTTAAAATTATAGGTTATAACATATACCTATGTTTCTTTCTGATTGATTGAAAACGAAGAGACCTGTAGCACTTGAAATGCTATAATAATAATAATAATAATAATAATAATAATGGCTTAAGCTTTTTTTGATTACAGCCCACCTTGTCAGGTGCCAAAGGATTATTTGTTGCCTTTGGAACAAAGATTTGTGAATAGATTTCTGGAAACCTGCATCATTTCTTGTTTTACACAAGGCATACATGCAACAGCATCATTCATTTTTTTGTTTAAACTTCCCTTTATAAATGCTTTTAAATAAAATGACTATTGTAACATAAGAATCATTTTTCTCCATTAGTTTTAGAAACTAATTAAAGAGTGAATGTTTTCTTTTTTAAAAAAAAATCCCGTTAAATTCGTTAGGTAATTAACTGGCAGAAAGCAAATGAATTGTTCTTAAAATCAGGCTATATTTTGAGTTGCAACAAATTTAAAAAGTCTAGCACGGTAAAGGAAAACCATTTTTACTATATCACAATTTGATCATTGTAGAAAGTAAATCACGGAAAAACATTTAATATCTGGATTTGGAGTCATTAAATAAATAGATGGTCAGGTGTCATTTTGATGCAGAACACTGACAAATATAATTAGTCTTTCACTGTGAGTCCTAATTTTCCTGTAAATGAACAGTTCCTTTGTTTTCCTCTTACATTTTGCATGGAATTAGTCTGATTTATAAGAACTTACCAAGAAAATGTTATCCTTCTTGTCTACAATTCTTTATTTATGGACTTAATTAGATTTGGAGTCTGTCTCATTTTACAGATATAAAATGAAGATAGATCGTTCCTATCCTATATATATGTTAGACAAGGACTTGGATAAGAGTGGGCGACAATTTATGTACAGTCACAGGTGTTCATACATGCTGCACTCAAATGGAATTTCCTGGGGAGAAAGCAAAACAGAAGTAGGGGAAGGGAATGCTTCATAAGGAAAAATAAGGAGAGATGTTAGCATATGAAGGATCAGAAATGCGAAGTGAGAAGACAGGGAGGTGAGGCTACTCTTCATTAAATTACTCCTAGAGACAAGTGATGGTGCCACAGAAATGTTAACAGAGAAAATTAAGGCATGGGATAGTAAGGAAACATG